AGTAGCTCTCAAACTTTTTTGTACATTAGAATCACTTATATGGCTTCTTAAAACATTGCTGGGCCCACCTTCATAGTTTCTAATTCACTAGGTCTGGGGTAGGTCTTGATAATTCCATTTCTCACAAGTTCCCAGGTGTTACTGATGCTACTCAGTCAGGGGATACTTTGAGAACCTCTGCTCTAGGATATATGTCCAGGAGTAGAATTGCTAGGTTGTAATTGACAATTTTACTTCAATTTTACTAGATAATACCAAACTGTTTTCTAGTGACGGTACCAATATACACTCCCAACACAATATGTATTGTGCCATATCTTCAATAATATTTTGTATTTTTAAAATTATTTTTTCTAATATGATAGATCTAAAATGATATTCTCATTGTGGTTTAATTTACCTTCTCTGATTTCTAATGAGATTGAGTTTTTTCTCATTTAAAAAAACTGATAGGGGCACCTGGGTACCTCAGTCGGCTAAGCGTCTGACTTCGGCTTGGGGCATGATCCCAGGGTCCTGGGATCGAGTCCTGCATCAGGCTCCTTGCTCAGCAGGGAGCCTGCTTCTCCCTCTCCCTTTGCCTGCTGCTCCCCCTGCTTGTATTCTCTTTCTGTCAAATAAATAAATAAAACATTTTTAAAAATAATAAAAAAATTGATAGACTTTATTTTTTAGAACAGTTTTAGTCTCACAGTAAATTGAGTAGAAAGTACAGAGAGTTCTTATATCTTTCTCACAATACACACACAGCCTCCCTCAGCATCAGTGTGGTATGTTTGTTACAATCCATGAACCAATGTTGATGCATCATTATCAACCATTACTTCAGAGTTCACTCTTGTGTTATACATTTTATGGGTTTTGACAAATGTAGAATGACATGTACCCACCACTATATCATACAGCATTGTTTTACTGACCTAAAAATCGTCTGCTTCATCTATTTATCCCTTCATCCTTCCCCTGGGACCTAGCAACCAATGATGTTTTTACTGTCTCCATGGTTTTCCCTTTTCCAGAATGTCATTGCATTAATCATGGTTTTCCAGAGAAACAGAATCAATAGGGTGTGTGTGTGTTTGCGTGTCTGTGTGTTGCATGTGTGCGCGCGTGTCCGTGTGTGTGTGTGCGTGTGTGTGTGTGCGTGTGTGTGTGTGCGCGCGCGTGTGTGTCTGTCTTTGTGTATGTATCTTTGTGTCTTTGTCTTTCTCTCTCTCTTACCCTTTAGAATATGGGTAGGCCTCATCTAATCAGTTGAAGGCTTAATAGAAAAAAGACTTACCTACCCCCAGGAAGACTTGAAAAGCAACTCTTCCCTAGGTCTCCAGCCTGCTGGTCTACCTGGCAGGTTTTGGACTTGGCTGCCTCATAATCACATGAGCCAGGACTATAGAGGATAATTTGCTTTACTCAGGTCTACTCATTCTTTGTTAACTTGGAAAGAACACTTAACATGGTATCTACCCTATAAATAGATTTTAAAGTGTGCAGTATATTATTGTTGGCTATAGGTACAATGTTGCACAGCAGACCTCTAGAGCTTATTCATCTTGCTTAACTGCACCGTTATGCCTGTTGATGAGAAACTCCCCATTTCCCTTTTTCCAGCCCCTGGCAACTAATATTCCATTCTTTGATTTTATGAATTTGACTAATTTAGATGTCTCAGGTAAGTGGAATTATGCAGTATTTGTCTTTCTGTGACTGGTTTATTGGTTTATTTAACTTAGCATAATGTCCTCAAGGTTCATCTGTGTTGTCACATACTGCAGAATTTTCTTATTTTGTAAGGGCAAATAGAATTTATTTCACTGTATGTGTATACCACATTCCATTAATCTGTCAACAGACATTTAAGTTGTTTCCATCTTGACTATTGTGAATAGTGCTACAAATGAACATAGGACTACTAATATCTCTTTGAGATCCTGATTCAATTCTTTTGGATAGATTCCTAGAAATGGGATTGCCAGATCAGATGGTAAATCTGTTTTTCATTTTTTGAGGAACCTCCATACTGTTTTCCATAGCAGCTGCGTTATTTTGCATTCCTGCCAACAGTGTACAAGGATTCCAGTTTTCCACACCTTTACTAACACTTTCCATCTTTTGTTTTTTTGGTAAGAGTCATTCTGACAGGTGTGAGATGGTACCTCACCATTGTTTTGATTTACCTTTCCCTGATAATTAGTGAGCATTTTATTATTAGTTAGCAATTATTGAGCATTTTTTAAAAAGATTTTATTAGGGCGCCTGGGTGGCTCAGATGGTTAAACGTCTGCCTTCGGCTCAGGTCATGGTCCCAGGGTCCTGGGATCGAGTCCCGCATAGGGCTCCCTGCTCCTTGGGAGCCTGCTTCTCCCTCTGCTTCTCTCTCTCTCTCTCCTTCTGTCTCTCATGAATAAATAAATAAAATCTTTAAAAAAAATAAAAAAGATTTTATTAAGTAATCTCTGCACTCAACGTGGAGCTCAAACTTACAACCCCGAGATCAAGAGTCACGTGCTCTACCGAATGAGCCAGCCAGGCACCTAGAGCATTTTTTCAAATACATGTCAGTCATTGTAGATCTTCTTTGGAAAATGTCTATTCAAGTTTCAGCATATTTTAAAAATTGGGTTGTTAACTTTTTTACTATTGAATGTTGTATGAGTTCCTTGTATATTTTGGAGATTAGCCCTTTATAATATATATGGTTTGCAAAAATTTGCTCTCATTCCATAGGCTTCCCTTTCACTCTGTTGATTGTTTGCTATGCAGAAGATTTAGAGTTTGATATAGTTCTACTTGTTATTTTTGCTTTTGTTGCCCATGCTTTGAGGTCATATCTGTGAAATGACATCATTGCCACAACCTATCCCTTGTGTTTTCTTCTAGGAGCTATATAGTTTTGGGTCTTACTTACATTTTAAGTCTTTAGTCCATTTTGAATTGATTTTTGTGTATGGTGTAAAATAAGGGTCGATTTGAATGTTTTTGCATGTTGATAGTTTTACTGACACCATTTGTTGAAGAGACTATTCCTTCCACGTTGTATATGCTTGACATCCTTGTCAAAGACCAGTTGTCCTGATGTAGAGGTAGGGATTTATCTGGGCTCTCTATTCTATACTATTGGTCTACATGTCTATCTTTATGCCAGTACCATCCTATTTTGATTACTGTAGCTTTGTAATATATTTTGAAATCAGGAAGTTGGATGCCTCTAGCTTTGTTCTTCTTTCTCAAGATTTATATTTGATACTAAAGCTGTATAAATAGGTTTTTGTTATTGGAAATAAAGTACGTTGATTAAGACAAATTTGAAACCTAGAACTTAAAATTGTTCTCTAAACTCAATTAGCCATTTCCAGTTATCACTTCCTAAGTATCTTTAGCTCTCCCTGGTGTGAAAGAATATAAAGAACTGCCAACCACATCCATTATCAAAGTCCTTTCTCTTGTGCTGGTGTCCTTTCCCCCTTCTCCGGCCAATCTTGTTCGGCTCCCTCAAGTTCTGCAGATCATGTGGCTCCTATTTGCATTATTCTTTGATGGTGTCTCTGTATTAAATAAATGGATTTAGGAGAACACAAAATAGTCGATAAGATAAACTTATAAGTGAACTAAAGAGAAGGAGGCTGTAGAGTGTTTGCATTCTCGCAGTTAGAGCAGCAAGATACGCCAAGAACACATTTAGAGTACAACCGAGTAGATCAGAGGGTTCAGCTAAGGCACACCATTCAGTACCACTTTTGGTTCCCTGAGATACAAGAGCTCTGTTCCCTTCTCCACATGACATTTTGGTGAATAAAAACCACATGCAAATGGGATAGAAAGTAATAATAAATGAATAGTATATAGTAATTAGCCTCGTGAGCTCTACTTTGGAGGAGAAATTGTGGTAAGATTTGAATAAGGTTTTAGTAGAATACAAAATGCAAGATGATGCAGGACTTGAGTGATTTAAGGGACATTCTAAGTTGACACACTCAAAAATTTCTGGAGGATGACAGTTATCATTTCTCCTGCCAGCATAGTGTTATAAGTATTCATTGCCTCCTCTGTCTTGTCTTAAGCTTTTGCAACACGAAGGGGAACTCATGAAGAACAGGGTAGGGAAGTTAGCTTATCACTTAAAAATATAAGGAAACTTCAGCTTAAAATTGTTCTCTAATCTCAGCTAACATTTTTCAGTTGTCACTGACTGTAGATCTCAAAAGTTATACAAACTTTTGGAGATCCTTTGAAATAGTTGTTGCTTCCTTAGCAACAAGCTTTAATAAGTACTATCAGTGGCAGTTGGTATAGTGAAAAGAGCCTGGCCTTTTGAGTCAGTCAGAATTGAGTTCACATAAAGCTCTGTCATTTGCTGGTGGCATTACCTTAAGCAAGGTATTTAACTTCTCTGAGCTGTTAGAAGTTCAGTCAAGGTTCAACGTTCCATGCACAAGCTGGAGCTAAGAGTGAAGCAAGTTCTAGGCTTGTGGTATACTACACTATCCTTTCAGCTACCTCCAAAAATGTATCCAATCAAGTAAGCCATCAACAGACAGCTTGCAAAATGCATTCCACTATCCCAATTTCTAGTTGGAGAAAATAAATGTGGGAAAGAGAATAAGTTCTGTGGTTAAACAGTCATCTCTTAGCTGAGAGCAAAAGAGCAGTTTAACTATATATGGGAACTAGCAGAAAGTAGCAGAGTTTAAGGTATCTGGAAAATCTTAATATGCCATACTTTGGATAATTTGTTTGCAATGGATGGCTGTAGTGAAAGTCTTTCTGCTTGAAATTTAAACGTTCTTATTTTTCATGCAAATTACTTTAAGAGAGATACAGGATAATTTACAAAGCACATACCAGCTTTAGTGAAAGATAACACTCATCTGCAAAACACATAGCTTTTTCTTAGCTTATACTTTATAAAAGAAAAGAACAGGTAATTTTATGGTTCTTTATGTACAATACTCTTATAAAATAAGTTAAGCATTTACATATGTTTTTCTTATTTGCAGCTCACCAGGACATGACTATAGCTTCTCAAGCTTATCTAAAATAACAGATAATATATATATCAACATTTTTGATGAAATGATTATTGAAAAACATGAGGTAAATTAGAATAATTATAATAATGTTGAACTGATTCTAAAGTCAAACTGAATGAAATCTAGTAACATATTTATAAATTTGCTTTTATTTTTTTAGTTTTTTTATTATGTTATGTTAATCACCATACATTACATCATTAGTTTTTGGTGTAGTGTTCCATGATTCATTGTTTGTGCATAACACCCAGTGCTCCATGCAGAATGTGCCCTC